CAAACTGATTAGGTCCAAGGCCTCGGATTTTGGTACCCAAGCCTTTTCGCATGCTGTCGGAGGGGGTCTCCCAAACTTCCCAAGAAGTTTCTTGAGCGAGGTGCCCTTTTGCCTCTATGGGCGCAGGTAGGATAGTTAGTGCTGTATGTGTTTTTGGGAAGCCTCCCCTTTACCTGCAGTACTGAAGATTACTGCTTAATTCAGTGGTTTGCTTCTGGCTGACCAGTTGTCAGTGGGACGGCCGACTGCGGCATTTCTAGCCGCACAAGTCCGCTTGTCCCGTCCATGCCGTGTTGCAATGCATGTGGTTTCCGACTTCCGAACACACTGAGCAATGCAGCCATTCCCCAAGGAGTTTCATCTCAGATCATGTAACCTGAACGAGATTGGGTTCTAGTTCAAAACAACATCTGAATTCAGCTTTTGCGCTCATCGATGTTTTTGCTCGACGGAAGGGGCTCGGGATTTTCGTGTCGATATAAGGTCTAGTGCGGTTCAGGGGCTAGTTCGAATCTTCGGCGGACTGTTACAAACCGTTTCTCCGAAAGTTGTGTTGGCGCCAAGTCGATTGATCTCTCCAGAGGTGCCGACGTTGTACCGCATAAAGCTTTAAGCTCGATCGTTCGGGAGGTGTCTGCCTTCTGTCCTTGAGGTTGAGAGTTTCAGGTAATCTCCCAACCTTAAGCTGTTCCCGGCATGGATCATTGCTCTCCCTGCGTTGGTCGAGCTGGACGATGTTCGGTGCGGGGTAGTGCTTGGAGAAAAGGCTTTCTACATTTTGTTGCCCAAGGGTTACAGTGATGTTTTTCAGGACCCTTAGCTGTTACCCTCAACCCATGAGAGCCTTCAAAGGGGCAGCCAGCCCTGAAATGCCCAAAGAAGAAATGGAGGTATGCCTCCGTGAAAGGACACTTGCCTTCCGGACAGCTAATGCAGGGGTCTGAAAACTTGGTAAGAAAGGTCACAGTATACCCTCACACAGTCCCTATATATGAATATCGTATAATGTACTCCAAAGCCTCATTCTCATTATGACATGAAGCCCCGTAAGTTAATCACCAGCTCTCCCTAGCTCCCGCTGTTTAATTCTCATTTGCTACTCTACCTGCCACTTATTTGTGGCTCGTCCCTTGCTTGCCTGGCACAACAAGGCAGATCTCCCGTGAGGTGCTCTGCAAGCTTCAACCACTCTCGCCTTAAACTATGAAGTCATTTTTGCGCCAATTCTGCAGACTTTGTTGTCTCATCTTGTGTGTAGTTGGCTGCGAGGGACTGGTTCCACAGAGGAGCAGTCATGAACTTGCCTTGGCTTTGTGAGTTCGGATCTCCGGGGGGTGGGGGAGTGTTGGTGAGAGGTATCGGTCAAGCCCCCGACTAGCAAGTCGGACTTGGAACAAACTTGAGACATATGCATGCAGTTCTTCCTCTTGTGGTTGTTCTTTTTCTCAGTATCCGACCGAACAATTGTTGTGACGGCCCAGGCAATGTTGTCCTTGCGACCACGATCGCGGAGCCGCTTGGCCAATTCAGTGCCCATAATGCATCGCCCTAATCATTAGTATAGGGTTTGGGGGGGTTCATTTCAAATTATAGTATAATATACCCCCGAACCCTACTCTAGTTATTAAGGCCCCCATCTTAGCCCTACAGGGTCACGGGGATCGGATTAAGGACGTAGAGGATCCTCTGCAGTCACACCGAAGCCCTAGACTTAGACTCTAGACCCTACAGGGCATGGAGGCCCATCTTGCAGCGAAAAGAGAGCTTCGCGCTGCACAAACATGGGGAATCTATGAAGTGTAGAGGCATCCCAGTACTGTATCAAGGCAATGATATGAAATGGCGTTCCGGTGGCATCAGCCGTTTCTGGCTGCCACAACCATTCTGTTTCGGGCTTCTATGGCTTATAATTCCTGCCCGGAGGTCTTGGCAGCCGAGGTGGCGCATTGCCAGTCTCCTCGCCATAAGGCTTTTGTCCTTTGTCAAAAGCTTCCTGCAGAGGCAGGGCAGGATGGGCAGGATCCGGATGCCCTGCAGACCATGTGCAAGGTTGTTCCGTGGGGGGGGGGCGTGCGGGTTGGCTTGCCTTGTTGATCCGGCCTCCTGTGTGCTGCTTTGGGCTTGCCTTTGCCAGAGTCGGCGACTGACACTAAGGGGCCTGGGTGTGACGGTGCGGTCTTTGCGGTCACTCCGCTTGGCGTGGTGGGGTGGAGGTGCTGCCAAATGCCCTAAACTGTGAAACTCCGTAACGTTAAGAACTCAGCGACCTGGTCAGTAGAGTGGGTGGGGAAAATGCTCGATAACCCCAAAAGCCTTACTGGGCCTCAAACCCCTACCCTGAAACCCCCCAAAGCCCTTATAAACCCCTAGCCCCCCCTCCCCCCCAACAGAAAAAAAAACTCCTAAAGCCCTAAACTTACCATTGGAATCCCGAAGCTGCCTGAGAAACCCCAAACGCCAAAGCTCCCAACAGTGCCCTCTAAGGTCTTCCTTGACGCTGCCCCAGGTCATCGGTGCCCTGATCTCAGCATCAGGGGGAAGAGAGCTGGGTTTATATGTGAGATCGGAGTTATGACGATTTGAGGGTCATTCGGGATACTCTGAGTCCGGTTTGGGTTTATAGGGTTTAGGGGATACTCTGGCCCGGCATACAGCTCGAGTCCGTGCTCAAAAAGGGGATACTCTGAGTTATTGTTTAGAGTTCTGAGTTTCAGGAGTTTCCAGTCTTGTTAGATTGTGGTTTCGTGCTTGGGACATGGCATTGGAGGCCGGCTTCGGCACGTCCAGTCGGGAGCTTCTAACACAACTACAGCCGTACACCCTACCTGTGATGTAGGGGCCTTCATAATTAGAATAGGGTTTTAGGGGCTTCCTTATTATAAGTATAGTATCTTATACCCCCAAACCTTATTCTACTTATTAAGGCCCTTACCTGTAGCTCCCTACCCTAAATCTTGCGCACAGCTTGGACACCTTGTGGCCTGATACTTCACTCACGGAGTCAAGTCCGTCACCGAACCTTTGCCTGACCACCACCGCGAGACTTACTTGTACTTGTACATCTCGCGGTGGCTATGCATCTAGTTTCGGTAAGTTTTAGGGCAGCATCTGCCTGAGGTGATCGACTTCTGCATTCACAAAACAAGTGTCGGCGATCCGACGCAGTGGGGACCTCGAGGAAAACCAATGTATCTGCAACATACACAGCCGAAGTGGATGGCGCGAGGTCTAATAAACCCCCTTCCCCAAGCACAGGGAGCATACTACGGTGCAGGAGCAGTTCTTGTCTGGGTGTAGACTTCCATGGAACCCATGGCAGAAGCGAAGCTACTTGGGTGATCTCTGACTTCGCTTCGTTGAATTTGCTGCCATACGGCAGCGCACTGCCCACTTGCTTGGCCATGGTCTGACTGATCAAGCGTAATCAGTTCTTGTCCTTCGGCGAGTATCTCTTCGACGATCATGAAGCAAGCGTTGACGGTAAGTTGTCTACCCTGTTGTCAGCGGCTTGGGACCGGATTCAACCAGGAAGCTGAAACTGAGAACCACAGTATATCAGGATTCGAGAGCGGTGGCGGCATCAAGCCCCGAAGACACCAAGCTTCAAAGCACACAGCCCAAATCCCCAAACCCTTTTTCCTAGACCAGAGAATCCCAATCCTGACTGTCCCCAAATCCCGATCCCGAATCCCTCAACCTTGAATCGAAACCCTGACTCCTAACCTTCTAGGAGCCCTAAACCCTAAAGCCTGAGGGTGAGAGCCGAAACCCTGAGGGAAAATCTTGTAGGAGGGAAAAAAATCCTGAATCCGGCAGCCCCGAAACTCCGAAGACGTTGCTGCTCTGCGCTTAGGATGGGCCTTGAAAAGCTGACTGCTCAGCCGGAGACCCAAGAGTGCTAAGGACCAAAGATGGACTTCGGGTTTTTAAACCCTATAACAAAACCCCCAAAGTAAACCTATAGACTATACTATAGACTCGTAACTCGACCCTTACATAACGGTTTAGTTCGGGGTTAGAGCGCAGCATGGTGTAGGAAACCTAGGAAATTAGGCTTCAGACTGCAGGGTTTAGGGTACAGGCTTCGGCGGTCTAGGTTCCGCGTTACAAAGCTCGGGGTTCGCAGTAGCAATGAACGTAGGGGCAGAACAAATTACCATAATACTATTTTTGGGTTCCTTATTCTGATGATAGGATAAAAGACCCCCAAACCCTTTTCCAAGTGTTTCTCAAAGCCCCCGCATTATTGGGTTTCCAGAGAACCCTGACTGTATCCTACGTTGCATGCATTTCTGCACATTCCTGGCCGTAGTGAAGTTCGAAAAATCGAGCTGCAACTACTTGCAACAATCGGAAGTCCCAGCAAACCCTGACACGCGCGCTCCATGAGTCCCCGACAAGCGGCATAGAACGCAAGGTGGTGTGCGCGCTCAGCTTGTCTACAGCGAGAGGGGTTCGGGAACCCAGCCTTTCTGGCTTCCTTGTGAAAGGAATGCGGACCAGGAGCAGACGTCTTTTCTGCAGGGTGAAGTGATGCATTTTCTGAGGCTAGGCTTTTGGTGTGGGTATGCATATACGAGGACTATGGTGTTGCAAACGGCTGCTTGCATGATCTTGCATGTGTTTGCGCCGTCAGACCGCGATATAGCATGAACAAGTAGAGGCCAGGAGACTCCTCAAATGCTCGGTGAAGGCTAACGAACAAGGCTTGAAGATTCTGGGCGGGGCTTCCGGCTCTGGGATTCCAGGACGCGGCGCAGTCCCTAGAAAGGAGGAGGTCGGAAGGCTATGACGGCTATGATATCTCCAGTGCCAACGAAGCATTTGCATTCAAGCCCCTTCCACGTGCAAAGTGGACAGAGATCGTTCGAAAAGCTTCTACGTCTCAGCACGATTAGACAGAACAAGTGCAGATTCAGCTAGCGACACAGACTCAAGAACACACAGGCCCATCTGGCAAGTAGAACAGCCGTGCTTTTGGAGCATCATCTCTTTAGGAGTCCAGTCTTCGCCCTGTCCGGCGCACGATCAAGATGGCTTCATCCTCGTATCTCACACCTCTGCGGCGCTTTTGTACCGCTTCAAGACTGAGGCAGGGGCTCTACGCACCGGGAAAGACTGGATCCATCCTCACAGCTCTAGAGCTTTGCGTGGAAGAATTTATGCAACGATTGAGTTCGTGCCAGCGAACTTCGGCCGTGTTACTGACTTCTGGTACAAAGGCAAGAGACACTCAAGATCGTCGGTTAGGATCACGCATGCCCCGGTCAATGAAGAGTATTTTTGGTCCGCACTATCAAGACCCTATCAACATGTCCTTATATGCTTGTCAAGGTATAAGTAATGGGTCTAGTATTCAGGGGTCTACCGTAGGTGTTGACGGGGTTAGGGTGTCCATGTTTAGCACATAATTCCCGAGGATGCTAGCAGCTTGTGATTCATCGACTGCAGTTGAATCGCCCCTGCGACAGCTACTGCGCATGCCGGCTTAGCAGCCTTTGCTTTGATTGTCCTGGCCATGCTAGAAACGTCAAGCCTTTGGCTATCCTAGTGTAGTAGGTAGCCTGGAGCCCTTTTTTCGGAAATCTGACCCCCCTAGCAGCCCCAACAGTCATCTTTTAGTTCCCCTAGGACCCGAAACCCTCCAACCCGAAGCCAACAAAGCTCTGGGTTCTCTGGAAGTCTCGCAGGTCCCCAGTCAGAAGGGCTGTGCACACGGCGATGCCATCGCTGGACATCTCCCCGTTCCTCTCAGGCTCGAGTCGGGTTTGGGGGTCTGTTATGGTAGAATTACCTGTAGCCGGAAAGACCTACCTTTTTAAGGAAGTGTATTTAGAAACCATAATAAGGAACCCTAAAAAGGTAAGTCTTTTCCGCTACAGGTAGAGTTAAGGGAAGCTGAGGTATAGCGTTGGGTCCTACAGGGTACACAAAGGGAAGCTAAGCCCCTCGGCTCTTGGCTCGTTCCGCTACAGCCTCTAAGCACCAGGCAGTCAAACCCCAAGGTCGAAGAAGCACCGGCGCAACAAACTTCAACCCGGACTCCCCCAGCCAAGTGCCCAAGTCTCACGCCATGTGCTCCCCCGGTTCCGGTGTGCAAGGGGGCAGTGTGGCCGAAAAGCAGCGCTGCGCGCAAGAACTCGACCCCTGGCCCTGCCATCTCAGCGTCTTTTTTGGTCATGTTTCCGGATCGATTGTAACATGGAGTGCCGTTTATTGTGTGGCTTTTGCAGCTTTTGCAAGGGCAGTTGGAAGGGAATCTGTGATATGAGATTTCGAGATAGTTCGTAGTTTTGCGGCGAGTCGCTCTGGCAGCCGGAATCGAGCACCGGGTGGCCACGCGACAGGGCTTATCGATGTTTATAGGATTTGGGAGAAAGATCGGGGTTCAAGAGGGTTCATACGACTTTTCAGCCTTATCGTGTTTATGGGGTTCAGGCTTTTCGGTTCGCGGCAGTTGCCTGAACCTCAATTTACTTCGGCGTTTGTGGACTTAAGGTTGGAAAAACGCTCAGTTGCTGTACCTTGTGCTTCAAGCACTTCATGTCATCTAGCCTGCCAGGCAAAGCCTTAAAACGCCTTCTTGCAATCTTGGGGTTGTTATACTTGGAAATCACGTGAAAGACAGGGCTTGTTGACATGGCCCCATGCGATCCTGATTAACATACATACCCCATTACAGCGATAATGGCGAGCCTTTGCTCAGGACCGAGCATGTAGAAGCACAGGGTTCTTCTACCTGGACGGCCATGGCGTTTCAGAGCACGAGGCAAGCGTGCCATCACAGAAAGCTGTGCAGGGATCCCCTAGCCATGAGTGCAGTATGCATGCCAAGAGTCACACACCAGAAGGGAGAAGATTCTGAACAGTTCGCGTGGGATGTATCATCGTGCTCCTGAAACTATCAGGGAAAGTATCAGGTGCCGTCCAGCGATGCAACGTATGCCACCATCGAGCCCAGCAAATTGCGTGCCTGCGAGGTCCAAAACCTGCACAGGCTTGCCAGGCAGTTCTTCGCCTTACCCAGCGCGGCCAAGGACGGAATAATGGCGCTTCAAAGGTTTAGGAGACTTCTGAGGCTTCAAGGGCAGCCCACGAGGACTACGGCTTCACTTGGGCATGCTCTGGCCGGCCGTTGCAACTGCAGCATGTACATGCTTACACTTACATGTTCTATGTATGTATATGTAGATGTACAATATTTATACGTGTATGTGTATTTGTATTTGTAGACGTATTCGTGTTTGTGTTCGTGTTCGTATTTGTATGTATTGAGCTCCAGGAACTAGTAAGGAAGTGAGAACCGTGCGGTGGTTTGAAGTTTTGTTGTCGCCACATACCTCGCCTTACCTGGTCGAAAAATGTATGTATGCATGTATGTATGTAACTAAGTAAGTATGTATGTATGTGTGTATGTATGTGTATGTAAGTAAGTAGGTATGTATTTATGTATGGCTGAATCTGTAGCACGCCGACCTGCGCCTGTTGGACCTCGCCTGGCAAGTCCGAGTTGTGAGAGGGTAAGTAAGTAAGTATGTATGTATGTATGTATGTATGTATGTACGTATGCCTGTATGTATATATTTATATATATATACCTATATATATATATATATGTGTGTGTAGTTCCCAACCCCTCGCTCCTACCTACATGCGTACATGCACACACACACACACATAGACGGGGAGAGACAGAGAGAGGCACGTGCAGAGGCAGAGCGAGCGAGCGAAAGACCGAAACAAACATGTGAGAAAGAGATATCCTGGACCAGAACTGAGCATCTGCAACTGGTCACGGGCTGCTTGCAATCTGCTTGCACCGTGCGCGGAGGAAGCCATTGCTCTCTGTTCCGATGAAGACTTTGCAAGAGGAGACTAAGCTGAAGCTGAGCGCTGATCGCTAAAGGCTTCGGGGTTGTGGAGTGCAGTTAACAGTTATCAAGCTCTGTCGGGAAGTCCCGCCGTGGAACTGAGCTAGGGGCGAGTAGTAGATAGGAGGATACACTACTCGAGGTTCCAGTGCACCAGCACCACGCCTGGCTTGAGATGTTGCTGCAAGGATATCAGAAGCTGGGCATGAATGTGACCAAGAACGAGAAGGAGACCGGGAAGCGTTCAAAACCATGTCGTTTCTCTGTGAGACAGGAGAGACTGAGTTATGAGGATCCAGAAACATAGTGTTCAGCTGAGAAAAACCTATGTCATAGTGTTTCTCAAATGAGCTTGTCTTCCCGCAAAGCCCGCCGATCACTCGCCCCATCCTGGGGCTGCTACCCAGGCTTGCCGGCCTTAAGTTTCTGTAGGGCTGAGGAGAATTCCGGAACATTGCCGCAGGATTGGCAGGAGGCCATCGACTTCTTTGCGGAGGCCCGTACCGGCAGCGTGCCTTGCATGAACAGAACACTTGGTGCAGAGTGCGTCCCAAGTCTCGCCCCTTCACAACCTGTGCACGCAAAGCCCTCGAGACTTGCGAGCAAATGACCAGTACACAGTAATTAGTGATGCTTTTCACTAGTTCTGGCGACTACAGCAATACTGAGGTCAACTTGAGCTCAATGTCGTCGCTGCAAGGCGTGCTTGGCAGATCTTGGCAGTGCCGTGTGCGGGCGGTTTGCTGAGGTTTTGAGAAGTTAGGTGGGGAAGCATAGCAGGGCATAGCATGAGTCGAGTGACCCCCAAAACATTCGCTTAGGTTGGCTTTTGGACCATGTCGTGTGGGCTTTGGGGAACTTACGAACGTTGACCGGGGATCGGAACTGTAGGCCTGGATGATTGGGGCATCGCCAAGTAAGGTGCTGTGTGGACGGCCTGTTGCGATGGAAACTCATGGAGATTCTGTTCCTGAGTTGCTTACTTCATGTGTGGCTTGCTTGCTCTCAGGTGTTGATGCAAAAGAGCTGGAAAGAGTACAACAGCGCCTTGCTTCAACGAGCCAAGTGTTTTCTACAGTGCTGCCACTGAAACTGCTCCTGCTACGGGTTGTTGCTGCGGCGAAGCTACGATTAATGCCACCAAAACTGACACCGGCTAATAGTACTTGCTACGGTATGATTAGCTCCCGTAGTCAGTAGTACTAGTGTTCGCATTGCACTAGCAGTAGTACCATGTACCAATACCCGCGACAGTGCTAGTAGCATTGCAACGACCACGACTACCTCTACCGCGACGATGACGACGACTGCCACTTACTCTTCTCTCTCTTCGCCACCATCAGTAGAGCAAGTTAACAGGCAAGGCTTGATCTCATCATAGTCTTTTGCTGGAGCAAATTGTGGTAGAGCCCTTGTAACCTGAATCCTCAGCTTTTGAGGTTCGTTGAAGGACGGAACCGGTGGCCAGAAGAGCCAGCCGACTTCAAGCGCCGCTCGGCCAGAAGAGCGGCCAGGAATGTGCCCTTGACGTGCTGAGAGGTGTTATGTTGTTCATGCCTAAAACTGCCTGACGGGTCATTCAGCATTTCCTCAGCCTTCCATCTACGTTGGCCTCATGTGCCGACACCGCATCCAGGACTCCCCTGTACGGACACTGTATCTCGCAGTTTCGATAATGTTTTGTGGAGTTGACGCAAGTTTGGGTCGCTAGGGTTGTTGTCCCTCATGCCACACTGCTGCTGACTACGAGAGGCCCACATATTCGACACCCATCCCACAAGCTGGCTTCGATGTTCAGTGCCAGACCAGGGCCGGCCAGATGCTAGGAGGGAAAGAAACCGAAGACATGAGCAGCTTGTTGTTGAGTTGGCGGTAGATTCATAGGGAGTCATTGGAGCATTGTCGGAACAATTGTTGGCATTGCAGCACACTTGCCCTTCAGAGCGAAAGCTCGTGCGAGCTCTGACCAGGCGTGGCGGAGGCCTACTTTGCAAAGATGGCCACGGTGGGATCCTCTTCTTGGCATATGCTGATGAAAGCACTCATGCAGTTTCTTGAGCCCAACCAGCAGAAATCTTCGTACCGACAGCCAACGTGGTCGCCATCACTATCACAGTCCCCATTCTCGTCATCATCTGCGTCACCATCATCATCACCGCAATCACCAACAGGACCATCATCACCATCCGCACCATCGTCAGCACCATTATCACCACCATCATCATCATCGTCGTCATCATCATCATGACCTTAATGCTTGCTGACACTCACTGCTATCAAGTTGCAGACTATGACAACTGCTGTTCCTGCAGTAACTGCAGCGTTGGTGGTGGTGGTGGTGCCTCCATCGGCCGAGTGGCGTCCATCGGTTCCCCATGGTCCGTGGGTTCAGTTTCAGCCGAGCTCCTATGTAGCCTAGTCTCCTTCATCTGTCGCGCGACGCAAGGACCACCGCAGACCCCAAAACCTTAAACTCAAATTTCCAAAAGCGAAACACCACAAAAAAAGGCACGCGACGATCGGGATTGAGCGCCTTTATCGAGGTGTGCGAATAGCTGCAAATAGCAGTGAATTCGCTACTCTGAGGTAGATTCCCCAAAACACATAGAGTTTTGGCGACGTAACTAAAGTAGCACTCGCATTATTTGCGGTAGCTTCGAGCTCGGAGACCCGCCGAAAAATGCTTAGTAGTAGTAGTAGTAGTAGTAGTAGTAGTAGTAATAAGTAGTAGTAGTAGTAGTAGTAGTAGTAGTAGTAGTAGCAGGAGGACTGCACATGAAACCCTGAACCCTGAACCCATGGCCGCATACAAACTCGTGTCCAAGCAAACTCACAGGCCCGACAGGAGGGTGGAGTTTTACTGAGCCTGGGGTGTTAGACAAACACTAAAAAAGGTCCGGGTGCAGGGTGTTAGACTTATCCTGACGGGTCAGCATGGAAAAACAGAACAAGACTGTCGAAAAGCGAAGTAGAAGGCGCCGTCACTGGGTGGCCCCTAAACCGACACTCTACCCCCAGCTCACACCCGCGAAACTGTGACGCCACGCATTTAAACTCTACTGAATTGGACCGGAGCACGGTACATCTCCTTCAGCAGGGCTTCTGAATCTCCATCCCTGGCAGCTGCCCGGGCTGCCTCCTGCGCATGGAGGTTCATGGGTAGTCATAAGTAGGGTTATAAGTAGGGTAACTATAGTCATGGGCTATATTAATAGGGGACTTATAACTCCACTTATAGCTACGCATGAACCTCCAAGCAGTCACGCCGGGTTGGGTCTGAACAGTGGCTTTTAGCCGGGTTAGGATTACGTGGCTTCTGTCTACGGGATGCACCAAGCTTTGATTTAAGAAGAATAGCCCTGCCGGTCCTGCTGCTTACCTTCACGCGCGAGGTAAAGCAGAATCCAGTGCATGAGCGTCGGGAAGATTTCCTGGGAAAGAGCCACGGAACCAAAAACCTGAACCCCACTACCTTGCCCAAACTTGTTTAGCATCCTAAACCCTAAACCCAAGCCTGCTTCCACAGGGTCTGGGACGCCACATGTGATGCTAACGATGTAAACGGCACAAAGGAGGAAGTCTAATAGTCCCGTCGGCGAGAACTTGAAGTTCCATGCATGGGTTTCGGGTTTAGGGTGTAGGGGTTAGAGTCCCCTAAACCCTAAACTCTAAACCCGAAACCCTAAACCCTAACCCCTAAATCCTAAGCCCTAAACCGAGGCTGTTTTCCAACTTTCTTCCTCCCAAACAGCCGAAGAGCCGCACCGCCCACGGAGGCAGCCACCAGAAGGGGCAGCCCTGTGATTCTTTCGGTCACTCGCGGCTCCGAGGCTTCGGGTTTAGGGCTCCAGCTTCGGTTTGGGATTCGGGTTTAGGGTTTAGGGTTTAAGGCCATGGACAAGATCCAGAAGGGATGGGAAAGGCTTCCTGTCAAAGCTTCTGAGACTTTCTACAGGTCACTCCCTCAGAACTCTACGTGCCTCAAACTAGAGCGAAGAGCAGTCTGAGGATTTCCAGAGTGCCAGGCTCCGAACGAAACTCCTCGGGTACGGAACATCCTGGATATCGAGGATATGCACTTGGTATGAGAAGCCAAAAAGATTTGGGCGTTGCCACCTTGAAGAACAGAAAGCTTACCTGCAAGAAGACGTCGTACCACGTGTCTCCTAGTTTCGACAATCGAAATCCTTGGGCGTTTCGGTCGCCGCCCGACAGAGATAAACAAACAGACTGACGCAGCCAAGCGGGCAGGCAAGAGACAGATAGACAGGTATGCTGCAGACGCACCTTCAAAAAACACCAGTGAAGAAGTGCAAATGACACCGCAACCCCAAGAATACGATTTGGGTGTGCATGGTGTGCCCCAAGCAGCGTCAGCGCCAACCTAGTTCAGCAAACACAGGGAGCGAAACCCCAAACCCCACTTGGAGGATCATGGGACTTAGTAAGTAAGGTTATAAGTCCCTTAATTGGGGTTATAAGTATGGTTACCCTAATTATAACCCTACTTACTAAGTCACATGATCCTTTAAGCACACCCTTCAACCCTGAGCCCCAAGACCCCAAGCACCCTAATTGCCGCTAAACCCTAAGCCCTAAGCCCACCCCATCTCCCCTCCGGCCGATATCATCTTCGCGACCGGCTCGGGCCATCGCAGCCTAACTCAGATTTTGTAGGATTGAAGGCTCAAGGTCTACTTCAGGAGTTTAGTGTTTGGGGTTTAGGTTAAGAGTTTAGGAGCGAGTGAGGAGTTCATTGAATCGTCGGGATTAAGTTGCGAGGTGCGGGGTTCCATTGTTTTGGGTTTGGGGTTGGGTTCAGCATGCAAGGTCCTTTAGGGTTTAGGGTTTAGGGTTTAGGGTTTAGGGTTTAGGGTTCCATGGTTTAGCATTTAAACCTGCTTTAGGCTGCAGGGTAACCCTAAACCCTGAACCCTAAACCCTAAACCCTAAACCCTAAACCCTAGAATTCAATAGCCGGGCGTTTGCATGTACCCGGGCTTCAGTTAAGTCCCTACAATGGCCTCAGGTCTCTGCCTATACACGACGTGGGTAGTTCTCTAAAATAGGGTCCCTTTTAGGGTCCTTTTATAAGGGTCCCATACTATCTTGGGGGCCTAAAAAGGGACC